TGCGGGGGCCCAGGGTGAAGAATCATATCCATCAAGTCGCACGCACACCAAGGATGCCACCATACAGAAGATTTTTAGCTGAGTTCCTGCGGCTCAGCTCTTTAGCGAAGAGCTTTTGGAACAGAGAAATGAGTCTGTTGACCTCTCAGCTCCTGGAGACAGTGAGTTTCCAGCAGAAGCAAAGCCAAAAAAAAAAAAAAAGGCAGAGACCAGCTAAAATACTGTAATAGGAATGTTTATTAGCATTGCATAGTAATAAAATGAAATATTACCAGGAAAAATAGCTTTAAAAGGTTGGAACTGGGTGAGCAGATCTGCCACAGAGCCACGAGCTATGTGCTCACAAGTACCAATGTGACTTGGGTATTGCTTGAAGAGCCATTCCCTGCAGGAGACATCCCACTGCTGAAGCCCCAAAGTACTTCTGACCCACGAGTAACCCACCAAACAAGTCTGCTGGGAAATACTCCAGCAGTTTAAGCTTAACAACCAAATTGGTTAACATCACTCCTTCAGCGCTTGGGGATGTCAGGGGATAAAAAGGATCACGGACTGAGTGGGAACAATACTCACGAAACTCAGCTTTGGCCTCGGGAGTCTCATCTGCCTCTGCGGTCAATAGGCAGAGACAAGCTTTTGCAGACGGTGAACTTGATTAGAGAGCTGATCTTGGTTAAAACTGCCTAGATCTTCTTCCTGCTAAGGATGGAGGGGGAGAAGGGTGGGACCGTCTCTCCGGGCAACAGAGCCAGATTGACGGTGCTGGATTACTGCGCTAGCGTAACTAGAGGGGGATTAGGTGCTCCGAGTCACCTACGTGAGAACTTCTCTCTCCCACTGCCTGTGCTGGCAACCTGTGGAGATCAACCTCCCTCGTGCCAGCTTTGGGGACATCCATCCCCACAGCGGCTCCAGGGACCGGTTGCCAACCTGCGCAGGAGCAAGCGCATGAGAAAGTGATTGCAAACCAAGGTAATTTTGAAGAACAACCCACAAAGCCTTCAAATTGACTTGAAAAACAACCTGGCCTGAAGAGCGGGCTGCATTATAAATGCCCTGATAGAGATGGTTATGAGAAGGCTTTTTTTACAGCTTATAGACACAGCAATTTGCTCCTTGAAGAACAGTTGCATGTCCTTGTGTTTCTTTGAAGTGCCTGAAAAATGCTGGAACCGTGTGTCCCTATGTGTGACTGTCTTCACTGTACATTTAATGGGGAATTATCCTACAATATGATGTTCCAGAAGAAGAGCTGTCCTTCTGTCCTCGGCTACCTTGGTATTACAACCATGTGGTATGAAAGCATTTCAAGAATTGCTTCCGAAGAAGCACATGTATTTCAGTAGGTGAAATTGGGAGGAATGGGGTGTCTTTGTTCTGAAGGGAGCCATGGGGTGTCTTTGTTCTGAATGGAGCCACTAATGATTGTTGAAAGAAGATTCAACACAGCAAAAGTCTTCCAGCTGAAAAACATCATGTCCTGCTCTCCCGTTGTAGAGCTCTCCATTTAAATCAATGGGTCTTGAAAAAGAGAAGGTAGCACTAGAATAAAACTCCCCACTTGTTCTAGTGAAGCCCCAAATAGCGTGTCATTGCAGGTTACTATGGAGTTATTGAATAAAGGCTGAGAAGCTTGTTCTGCTGATCAATACCTGTGTGTGTGGATGCAGATGCAGATCTCAGCAGCGGCTGTGTGTCTCCCGGAGGCTCCCTTCCGAAACCTGCATTCAGCTCATGTGAAGTTTTCTAAGGGATTGAACTTCTAAGACTAGTGCAAATAAGGTGTGGGTGCTCGGGACAAATGGATGCTCCTGTGCTGCTCCTACCACTAGATTATGATAACCTCTCTTTTCACATCTTTGCTTTATATCAGACTGCTAACAAATAAAAAAAAAAAATGTATCAAGAGGAACAGCTTTAAATGGAAATAAAGAGATGTGTCTAAATCCTTTAGGCTGTTTGGGATGTCTCAAGTGATTTAGTCTGGCTGTATCTGTACATTAAAACATATGAGGGCACTGAGGTTCATCACTTACCCTATTAAAACGTTAGAAGAGTCCCTGGCATGGGGTTGCCTCAGACCAGGCAGAGCTGTCCCACATGGTCCCTGAGGAACAGCTCAATAGCTAGCACAGGGTGTGGAGCTTTTCCCATTGACGGTATGGACACAGCCACCCTATTTGGAGGGTGAGAGGGCTGAAAAGCATGGAGCAGGGCCCTCCACCAGCGGGCAGCAGTGCCAGGACATGTCATTTAATAGGGCAGACATGGCAAAGTGGCTGCCTGCTCCATGACACGTCTCTACTGTGACAATAAAGAGCTAAAACCCTGCCAGATGTTTCCCAGTCAGGAGTCTGTGCTGGATGAAGGCATGCTGGGGGAGAGAGACCACCCCGTGAGCCTGGTCTCCATGCGGATACCCTCCTGACAAGGCTGTCCTGGTTGTCTGAGGGTGAGCTGCAAATCTAGATCTTGGGGATAGCAAGCTCCCAGTCTTTTCTGACACCATCTCCATCTTTATTTGGCTTGGGATAGGCACGGTGGGGAAGGAGTCCTGGAGGTCCCACCAAGCCCCTCCTTGGGCATCTCTGGAGAGGAGACACTTTTCCCTCAGCCATAAGTGGGGAGGGCGCAGATCCCATCCCACCCATGCCATGTGCGTGGGTCACGGCAGGGAAGGCCACAGAGGTGGGTTTAGCTCAGTGCTACGGGGCAATCCCAAGATGCAAGAAAAGCCCCTTTGGTTTTACTTTATACGGCGCGAGAAGAGGCTGCGAGGGGAGAGCGCTGGGTGATTGGCAGCATTTTTAGGCTTTCTGGGACAGAAACAGTAGAAGCGGTGGTGAGAGCTGATGCCCTGGGGCTGACTCCAGCGGAATGGAGTGGCACCAGGTACTGCTCAGCTAAGTGTAAGGAGACAACTAATGAAGTGTGCAGCGTTGTGTGGCCATGGTGCCTCTCTCCCACCTCTGGGAAAAGCCAGAGGGGACAAATATGTGAACCCGCTTTGCTTTTGTAAGGTTTGAAATTGGAAACTTTCCTCCAAACTGTATTTCTTGTGGGGAAGGTGTGTGCCAGAGAGGTCCATGTCACAGATCAAAAGGTTAAAATGGGCTCTCCAAGGAATTTCTGCATTTTTTGGGGGCTTAAACTGAATGTAGCAAGTGATGAAGGGAGGGGAGCCATTTCCTGGCCTTTTGCTGGGTGTCTTGCAGCCTGTCCTGAAGCAGAACGGAACAGAATTCCAAGGGCTTTATCTGTCACCCCAGTGCTGAGAATAAATGCCAATAGAGTGCAAAGTGCTGTATCCCTCGGGGGATCTAAGATGACATGTGCCTTCCCTTGATTCTCAGCTAGGTCTCGCCCTCCGGGCCCTCCTCGGGGAGGTGCACACCAAGGTCAGCCCAGGGTTCGGGCTCCGTTGTGGGTGCTGGGGCTGCAGGCTGGCCTTGGGGAGGGGACAAGGGAGAGGTCAGGTCAAAGTTTGGCAGCTTCTGCACCCCACAGTGCCCTTTCCCTTTGGCCTCCTACACCTCCATTCTCCCCTCCAGCAAATACATTTGGATCGTCTCCTGGAAAAGAAAGAAATAACACAAATATAAAAAAGCCAGTGCCTGGCGTTGCTGAGAGGCAGGTACAGACATTGGTGGGGAGCGTTACGCTCTCTCTCACGGTATTACCCCTGCATCGGCCAGGGGTAACTGGATCTGTGATAGCGTCTGATCCTCCCAAGCCTTTAATTGGGTGTGTGAAAGGTCCAAAATGCAGCTCATGCTTCACCCAGCCATGAGATGCACCGTCTTCTTGTCACACAAGGGCACTTCCGAATGAACCCAGCCTCCTTTCTAAACCCTGCTACCAGCCAGCTCCCAGGCCAGCAAGCCAAAGCAGACCCTTCGTAAGGGAGCCCTCCCAGCCAAGCGGCGTGCTGCTGGTGGTGAAATATTGAATAGCTTTCCAGACATCCACCCTTTTTCTGTTCTGCAAAGAAAGATGCCGTAGTTAGACAAGGGGCAAAAGGCGGTGGCAGAATAATTAGGGAACAGTTGCTTCCTTCTGTGGAATCGGGCTGCGGGACCGGGCCGGGACGAGCGCTCCGCAAGGCTGATGCAAACTGGAGCGTGAAGATCAGCGTGCGGGGAGCACCCGCGTGTGCCAGGCAGCAGCTGGGGCAGCGCTCCCGGTCTGGAAAGGCCAGTGTGGCTTTTCCAAGGCTTCTGCATTCCCCAGCCCTCCCTCCACGCCGGTTTCCACTGCAAACAGCAGCAACCCTTCTCTGCAGCACCAGGGCTGGGACAATGCGCCCCGGATAAGTGGGCCTTCTGTCCCCAGCTGCACCGGGGCCAGGCTCTCCCAAACCTGAAAGCTTTTTGCTTTCCTTTTTTTTTTTTTTTTTTAAATACAATCACCTTAGTTCAGTATTCACTAATTTTTCCCCCTTGCAAACTTATTAGCTATTCAGCCCCGGCGAGCACTCGTAAGCATCCTTTGTCCCAGGGAGGGCTGGAGACCCCTTCATTAGCAGTGATTACTCTGAGCAGTTTGACAGCCTCCCAGCCCGCTTACAAGACTTTCCCATTCAGCCCTGCCCGGGGCTGCCCCGCTTCTCAAAAGAAACGGAAATATTCAAACATTTCTCTCCCCCCCTCCCCAGCTGAATAGAGGAAAAGCTGTTTCTCTTCTCCGCCCTCCCCATTCACTTCACTTTTGATACAATATTTTCCTTCTTTGTTAAACCGGAGAGAGAGGGGTCAAGGCAGACTTTTTAGCGACCCTTTTCTGAGCGTTTTGTTTAATGTAAATACAAGCTCCCCCCTTCTTCCCCAATTATTATTATTATTTTTAAAACAGCCGAAGGCTCGGGAGGGCGACGGCTTGGACTGGTCTTTAGGAAAAAAAATGCTGAAAATGGCAGGGGAAGGGCATTCCCTTTCAAAGCGGGAAGGGAAAGGGCAGAAGGAAAAAAAAGGGGGAAAAAAAGAGTTTTTCCTCCGTAGGTCTTACCGGTACAGCCAAACACGGCCGGCGCAGCCCCGTGGCCGCGGCCCCGACCCCGGCCCCTGTGGAGCTCCGGCGGTGAAGAAGCGGGGCTGGGAGATGCTCAACTCTCCTGATCCTCCCAAGCCAAGCGAGCCCGGGGAGCGGGGCTGCTCTTCCCAGGGTCGCTCCGGGCTCCGCTCCCCTCCCCGGCCGCTGTTTCGGAAGGGGTTGATTTGCGCCCTCGCCGAGGCTGGGGGCACGGAGCATCCGCCGGAGGGTCCCTCCGTAGCCCACTCGGGAGATGCAGCATCCTTTATACCACTTAAACCCTTGGTCGAAATATTCACGCCGCCGCCTATTGTCCAAATTCCAGCTTGTTTAGTTAGAAAGAAATTCCACGCTATCAGAGGCTGGGCGTATGTGTTCATGTAATTCTCTTCCTCTCTATATGTCTTTTCGAAAGCTTTAATTCCCCACAATAAGCGCTAGCTACTCTGCCCGCAGAAGCCAACGGAGAAATTGCAATCCGCTTCACCTATTCCCGGGGAAGGAAAGAAAGCACGCGGTGCCTTTCAGCCGATTCCGTTTTGAGGGCGAAAACCGCTTTTGCTCCCCCAAAAACTCCTGGGTGGGAAGCACTGCCCGCCAGCGAACCCACCAACCCCCGAACCAAGGCAAAAGCCCGCCTCGCTACCTTGCTTTGGGCAGCAAAGCCGGGCTCCTCTTGCACGGCTCTGTCGAGGACAAACCCGGCGGGGTTTAAGAGGCAACAAACCTGGCGCAGGGTTGGGGTGCAAGGTGGGCTCCGTCCCCTCCCGCAGGTGGGTGCCCCCCAAAGGGAGCTGGAACCCCCCGCGCTGCTCCCGCTCCCCGCCCCTGCCACCCGCTGTTCCCGCACTCGCTTATTTGCCTCTCCCGACACCCCGAATTACACCCCGCCGGGGAAACACTTGTTTGTAAATGGACCTAAAAACCAGCTAATAAATACCGGCTACCTGCCCCGTCCCTGTGACGGTCTGTAAGAAAAAAACAGCGCACACGCGTTGGGGATGAAACGCAGATTTTAGACACCGGCGGTGCCAACGTTTTTCGAGCTTTAAATGCAAATTTAGGCAGAGGGGGAAAAGCCACTGCCGAGACGGGAATCTGCCTCCCGATAAAAGGCAGCAAGATTGACTTGATCTATCACGGAGCTGAAACGGCCCCTTGGGCCTCCCCGGCCGCCTCCGTGCCTTTGCAGCGGAGCTGGGGCATTTCTCGCAGCCGCCGCGGGTTAGCTCTGCCCGGCTTCCCCCGGTGCGAGGCTTCGCCTGCTAAATAAAACGAGCCGAGCAATCAGCTTACCGGGGAGGCATCTCTCTGAGGACAGGGAAGTAAACGCGATGAGACCGAGCAGACAAAAAAAGCACAGCTCAGGCGATTTAAAGATCAATGTCAAATTGTATAATATAAAATCCTTCTGCTGGGGGAAAAAGCTTAGCGCGCTCCTTAGACCTGGAGTTTGGTCTCCTCCAGCAAAACCGCCGCCAAACAAAGCGAGGGAGGCGGACGGTGGGGACAGCCCCTGGCACATCGCAGGGGCCGGGATTTGGGGTTATTTCGCCCCCGATCCGGCTCTTCCCGGGCACGGAGGGCTGTTAAGTCCCCGTCTTCTCCTTGCATTTGCCAGGTGAGGGAGGAAGCTTGGCTTCCCCGGCTGGGCTGTCCCCAGCCATTTCTCTCCCTTTTTCTTCCCGTCCCCCCCGCCTTCCTTTTTCCTCGTCCCTGTTCGAAAATTCGCCGCCGATAATCCCAAAAGCCTCAGCCCCTGGGAGAGGAGAAGCTGCGGCGATGCCTTCTCCTTCCCTTCCCCGGGCACCCGCAT